CAGCCCTGGCTCCACACATGGAATGATTCATTTATATCTTGGCCTCAAGATGGAGTCTAAAGTGTCGACTATTCATTTCATCTACTCAGCAAACATTTGCCCGGTGCCCGTGACATGCTCTCAGCAATCCAGCATGCTGGACAAAGCGATTCATTCTCACAGGACTGGGCGTGGGGCGGCCTGGGGCACGAAAGCCAGAGCAGGGCCAAGGCCAAGGAGAGAGGGTGGGGGAAGGAGCAGACGGCCCAGGCTCAGGGCGGAGGACGGAAATGTGCGCCCTGAGCCGGCAGAGCGGACGACCGGCAGTCACTCGCATGCATCACTCTTGTTTTCCAAAGTCAGAAAGTGTTTAGCTGAGTGGGGCAGGAAACTGGACTGTGGTTTTTCAACCTTGTTTTTCTCACCACTCCAGGCAAAATGAGTCCAGAGCTCTGTAGTTGTTTGAGGATGCCACCCGGGACCTAGTTCCTGCGCCACCATCCTCACAGTCACAAAACGGCTGCACTGGCCCAGGCATCAAGTCTGTATTCCAGGCAGGAGGAAGAGGTAAAGGCAAAAGGCATGGCCCACTGAGTCTGTTCCTCTTTAGCTGGATAAAGGAAAGCTTTCCGAGCAGCCTCATCTAACATGACAACTTCCTCGGATCCCACTGACCAGAAAGGGGCCACCGTGGCGTAAGAGACCATCAGAAACCCGGAGGCGAACAGGTCAGTCCGGACGAGGCTCTATCAGTAAGAAGGAGTGAGAGACCGGATACCGAACACGCGACTTGCAGCCTCTAATCATTCTAATCGTATGTGGCGTGTTTGTCACAGTGCCCTTTACTCCGGCTCATCGGCACGCTCACGGGGACTCGGAGACGGCACAGTGTTTTCTGGCTCATTCGCTACTGCATTCGCGTGCACACCCACCAGGCCGAAAGCCTGGCGTGGCACTGGGTGTCGGGTGTGCTGTAAGGTTGTCTAGTTCTTGTCCGCATGTCTAGCCAGGCTTTCTGCCCAGGCAAGACTTGCCTGTCTGCAGATGTGGGTCCCGCCGAACCCGGTGGGTGAAGTGCCTAATTCCGACATACTTGTAAAGACAGTTAACGGTGCTTCTGGCCAGGACCGCTGCTTTATGGCCCCCTCTGGGCACCTGAATTTGGCCTCTCCTCCGCCTCGCCTCTCTAGTGTACTTTGTCATGCAAATGAGTCATTCATTCAGCCAAGCACCTCCGCCCCCTCCTCCACTCTGCCTCAGGGAGGGTGCGGGAAGCTAGCAGAAACCCCACTGGCACCCCCCCCCCATGCTTGCCTCCTCAGCATCCACCCCTCCTGAGACAGAATCCTTGTTCCCCTTCAAGCAGCAGTTTGCTCATCAACCAAGCGCTGGAGCGAGCTAGGTCTCGGCCGGGCATGACGATGCACTTCCCTGCTTCCCAGCTCCCACCGCTTTCACCAGGGAGTGGCGTGTGACCTAGTTCCAGCCGACGGGAACTTCTGCAAGGGTTCTGAGACAGTGTTCGCTTTCCCGATGCAGGGAAGAAATGCAGAGGGTGCTACCGCTCCCTCCTTTGCCCTGCTCCGAACTCGAAAGCAATGCCTGGAGCCACGGCAGCCAGTTTGCAATGAGGAGGCAATAAACGGATGAAGGAAAGATGGTAGAATGGGCAGAATTAAGATTAGGCAGGTCTGCCGCTCCGGCCCTCGACCACCTATCTCTTCACTGTTACGTGTGAAAAATGAACCCCCATTTAAGAGTCTGTCAATTGGGTTTTATCCTGTTGGCCAAGAACATTCCAGAATGATCTAACCGGTAAACCGGAGTGACAGGGCTGCTGCTGTCATGACCTTCCAGTGTAAGTGGGAGAGCAGGTCGACCAGGTGACACACCTCCCCGGCGAGGACGCGGAGCAGCGGGGGATGGGAGGAGGGAAGCTTTTCTCACGAGGTCTCATCGAGTGAATCCACCTGACAGCGTTTGAACTCATAGCGCGCCCACCTTCCTCAGGCGATGTCCAGACCCACGGCCCCTGTGGCCAGCAGGCATTTCTCCTCGTGGCCACCCCAGGAGCAAGGCGAAGAGATGGCGCCTGCATCCTGGGTTCCCGCGATGCCGCCGATGGCTCTCCCAGCCTTGGGGGTTTTTCCCCGCGAAGCCTGTCTGGGTTTTCCCGGAACTCTGCCCGCCGGAGTGAGCACAGGCAGGTCACCGCATCGCCGCGGCCCGGCCGTTAATTATTCACGAGGCCGAGAAAAAGACACCAGCTTAGCGACGCCCCAACTGAAAGGCGGCTCAGAGAACGTTCCTCTAGCCCAAGGCAAACGGCCTAACCGCTGGCAATACTGTAGCCATCGCCACGCCCCGGTGATCGTGGCCCTCCGCGGACAATCCCGAAAACAAAGCTACCGGTAACAGCACACGCGGCCACAGCCACGGGCGCCCAGGAGCAGCGCGACCCGGCTCGGCCAGCTCCCCGCGTCACCGTGCCCGGCCACTGTTCCGAAGGCTCGCGATACCATGGTGTCTGCTACCGTGTTGGGGGAAACTATTTTAAGCCTAATTAGCATGAAATTTTTAGAATGCAAATGCTCTTCATTTAGACATAAAACAAAATGCCACGACATTTCTTCCATCCATTTATCATAAACAAGTTAATTACTGTGTAACAAATCGCTCCTTCTGGAATGTGGATGTTCGGGGTTGCCGGTAAGCTGACTTGGGCAAAGAGAGGGAGCCACAGAGTGGTCGTTAGTGGCTGATGGCACACTTATTATAAGATGGTGACTCTGAAACGGCGCCTGTCATATTCAGGTTAAGCTCTCTCGGTTGGAATAACTCAATTATAAGTAGTCATTATCTATTTAGCTTGATTCCTGCCGGAACAATGGCGATACTGTGCCTCATACTTATCGTTGACGTGTGCGCCTTCGCCGGGGTCTCATAGTTTGCAAAGTTTTCTCAGGAAATACAGAAATTTTTATCTGGCCCGGTTTGAGCATATGTCGGCTTTCGCCTCCTTACGTGCAAAATTAGTTTTAAGATCTAAAACATCTCTTTGTCCCTGAGGTCCTTCAGTCTAAGAGGCCGAGGAAGAGAGCGGCGAGAGGGTGTCCCACGCAGGTGCGGGAGAAGCAACAGGACTTAGCCCACCCAGGGCGGGAGGTGCGGGACCCCGAATGCCCGGGACACACTCTGCAGTTCTCTCCTTGGCCAAGGTGGGGCCTCGTCTCACGGATAAGCGTGTCGAAAGCGAGTCTCACATCCACACACCCCAGAAGCCGGTCCAGGTCCCCCTACCATGATGCGGTCTTCACCCCCCACCGGGTGAAAACCATCTGGGCATACGGGACAGGCCAACACCCGGCCAGTGGTCCAGGCTTCCCCACCACACCGGCCTAGGGCAGAGCCCAGCTCAGCCTGGACCCACACGGCCCCCGGGAGAGAAAGGAGATCCTTGTTTGAAATCTCACATTTTCTCATAAAAAGTGCGAGTTCTGCCTTTTTCTTGCACAGTGGGCAGCACTTGTCATTACCAAAATAGAGGCAGTCTTTCTGAGATTCTTCAGTAAAACCGACTCTCCAGCATCTGATCAGGTTTCGCCTGGGGAGGCGTGAGGCTGTCAGCTTGAGGACGCGGCCGTGAGTGTCTCCTGTTATTCGTGATGGTACAACGCATCGAGGGTGACAGAACCTTCCGGGCCTTCTCCACAGGCTCACAGGCACCCTCAGTAAACCCACAGACTCTGCAAGATGGCCTCCCCTTCCAAGTCTAAACCGCACACGGGCGCAGTCAGCAGAGCATCTCCCGAGAACTCTCGCCACCCGCGTGCGCCCGCCCAGCACACCCATTCCTTCCAGGCCGAATGCCCGGAGATCTTTATTTTTATTTTATTTTTGGTAATCAATGAAGGAGTCGATAGTATCATGCCCCTGCTTTAGTAGTCAACTCAGTTCACGACAAATAAGAAAAAGCTGGATCCAGTGCAAAATGAAAACCCGGATTCACAGAACGGGAGCCAACAAGTCAACAAGCCCCGCGTCCCAGGGGTGGGGGGGGGCCTGCAGAACCGTCTCACACACAGAGGTACACAGAGGGACACAGAACCGTCTCGCCTTGCACACGCAGAGGTGCAGCTGGCAGCACGCAAGGGAAGACCCCACATTCCCTAACATGCCAGCCCGGGCGGGAAGTCAGCAGTCTGGGGACCGTTTAGTCACGAATGTTGAAATCTGGCTGGGATGCTTAATCTGAAGCCCGCTCCCTCCAGCCCCTCGGAACGGCCTCAAAGCGCCACTTTCTGGGACAGTGATGTTTGCGAGGGAAGAGGTACAGCTCAGGTGTCCCTGGTCTGTGTCGGAACCGAAGGAGAAGAATTGCTGAGTCATCTCCCCTCCCACGCAAATGTAAAGTTTAATTAGTTTGTCCTAAAAGAGAAACCAATCAATATGCCAAATGATCTATTGCCCTTTGAGTTTCGAAGCTGTCTCTGGCTTTCCCGTCACAAACCGGCATCACTCCCGCAAGGACGCTAACGCTGAGTGGCAGTCCCCTCCCGTGTGCACGGAGTCCCGCGTTCTCGGTGGGACAGTGATGGAGACGGATGCCACATCTGTGGACAGAATGTCCATAGGCTCATTTGCCACATTCTCAACACCACCCGCTTTGCCGTGCATTTCAAAGCAAATACAATTCAAAATTCCAGAATTCCATACACAAAAGTCCTTAGTGAGAAGCCTCTCTCTGCGTGTCACTCGGGTGACCTTACATCCACATTCCAATCTGTGGTCCAGGAAATGATTCGCCTCACTCAAACATTTTTGTTTGATTCAGGGATTCTGAATCGTTTATCCATGATGCAAAACGACTTTCGGGTCACTGAATCCTCACCTCGCTGACCTCGCTGACCTCATGCCAGCAGACGGCATGGCTGCCAGCCCAGCTCGGCCTCCCCCATCAGCACGCTCCCTGTCCAGAGCCGGGAGCGTGGTCCCTTTCGCCCCTCCACGCCCCGCCCTACCTTTGAGGACTTTCTCTCCTTCTGGAATATTCTGGGAGATCAATGCCGTGTAACCTTCTTCGGAGAAGCCAGCCTTGCAGGTCTCCCTGGCTGTACGATCCCCGTTATGGGCCTGGAGACAGGAGGAAGACAGGTTAGAACAGGGAGAAGTTCACAGACACGGACTGTCCGCGCGCTCATGGGGGCCTGCTGAGCGCAGTGTCAGCTGTGAGGGAGACTGGAAGAGACCCCACCTTCCACCCAGACAGTTCAGGGCGGCGGCTGCTGAGGTCTCTGGGGCTGAAGTGATGTGGCCAGGGGCTGGGGTGCTCCAGGAAAGCCTGTCAGGGCCTCCTGGCTCTGAAAACTGTCCAGAAGGGAGCAGGCGGCAGCCCCAGACCCAGCTGACGAAGAAGGGGCAGGGAGGCCAAGGGGCGGGCGTCGCATCCCTCAGGCCCCAGGGCCCGCTGTGGGTGAGGGGGACCAGCAGGCTTGTCCCTTCTGCAGTCCCCAGGGAGGGAGGAGCGGGCCGAAGGAGAAAAGATTCTCAGAGACTCTGCTCAGCAGACGCTGCAGGGAGGCCTGGGCAGGAGGTGAGGGGTCCCACCCTCCAGTTCTCTCCCCTCTCCTCCCTTTCGTGGCCGCTTGTCCACCCTTGGAGAACCCATCTGCGCCCAACCCGGCGAGAGAGCTCCGTTAACTGCTCAGAAAGGGCGGGTGTCCTCTGGCCCTGAGCGTGCTGGCTTCGCTGCTCCCTGGGTCTAGAGCCCAGGGCAGCGAGAGCAGAGCGGGGCGGGCGGGGTGGCGCCCTCCCAGGCTGGGGAGTGGGAGCTACAGGTCCGCCGCGGGGAGAGGGGGGCAAGGAGGGAGGGCCCGCGAGTGCCACGGGGAAGCCAGCTCGCCGCCGCCACGCGGGAAGGGGCTCGGCAGGGCGGGCTCGCAGCCAGCACGGGCAGCCGCGCCTTGGTTGGCCACGGAGCGCGATGCGCCTCCCGCTGCCCTTGTGCTTACCACAATTTGAGTCTCTCTATCCCAGGAGGCCATACATTCCACGAGGTCCAAGTTCATGGCTATTTTGTTCACTCGCGTGTGCACCAACACCCAGCACGGGGTTGCAACATGCCCGGCCGGAGCTCCCTGCACCCGCCGCCGGCACATTCGCCGGCGCCCCCACCCAGAAGCACCTGGGGAGGGAGGGGGCACGGAGTCGTTCCTTGGGAAAAGCTGCGCAGCCCCGCTCCGGCCTCGGGCTCCAAACAGCATGGAGACAAGCTTGGGAGGCGCGCAAGACCAGGAAAGTTTGGAGCCGCCCCCGGCGAGCGCCGAGCTCACCCCGCGCCCGCAGCCTCCGAGCCTCCTGACCGAGGGCGCTGGTTTATTTCCGAGGTTACACCGCGCCGCCCAGAAGGAGCAGCGAGGCCGATCGGCCACGAGAGGGGGTTCCTGCAACTCCCGCGGCGCCCCCACCCCCCGCGCCTCCCCAAGAGGCGC